TCCTCTAAGTCTTAGTCTTTACTCGCATATGAATACACGTCAAAACAGTTGGTTAGGTATTTGGAATGCCTAGTAAGTAATATCGAGGTTCCATAACGATTGTAGTCAAGGAATCAATCATTTATTGAACAATGATGTATCGCTCAAATCATTCGAAAAATCTTTGAAATCATTTAAATATTTTGTATAAAAAATCATCACTCTGTACTCATTTGAAATTTTACTTAAAAATCTTAAAATTATTTTATTAATCAATGTTCCAATTCTTAAATATTTTAAATAAAATATTTTCATATTTTCTCTTAAAAAGTACTTTGAAATCTTTAACTTATTTATACACTCTTACTCTTTTCTCTTTAAAACACTTCAAAGATATAAAAATCTTTGGTTAAACTTTATACTCTTTTCTCTTTGAAGCACTTAAAATCGTAAAATAATTTACCATAACTCATTGCACTTTTACTCTTTTCTCTTTTAAACACTTTGAAAATGAATAAAGATTCATATATCACATAAATGGAAAGAATGCGATACAACATGCAGCTACACCCAATCTTGTTCCCCTTTTTTCCCCACTCACATGTTCTCTTTTCATGATAGCGATAGAGACTATGAAGTAGCTAGTACAAAACCCTCTACAACATGACTCCCCCCGTTTTTATTTGGCCTCTCTATGGGTACGGGTATAGTATCAATCATTGGTATTGTACTTTAGGTAGTTAGACTTAAATACGCATGAGGCATATTTATAACAATACACACTCTTGGCTCTCTATAGTTATTGTTTTTCATGAACTTTGGAGGGACACACAAGCCTTTTCCCACTCTTATATGAATGCATATACTCATGCTGTTTTTTTAAAAATCGTTTTAACTATTTACTCTTTATCAAACTCTTTTATGAAATCATTTTGATGAAATACAAACATATCACACAATGAAACACATAACAAGTAATTCACAAAAAATCTTAAACATTTTCACAATTTTGGAACATCTTAGTGTTGTTTTATGGGACATGGATTTGATAGTAGTCACCTCAATGTGAACCAAGCTGTTCTACTTCACTTTCAAAATATGTAGAAGTTTCTAACACACCTTTTTTCCTCTAGAATGATGTAGAAATTCTAGTGTCACCTAATAACATAAAAGAGTATGTCGAAATTCTATTAAGTGATCCATTAAGTCAGTTATTAAGTTCTTAGTCCTAAATATAAAATTTATTGTTTCGTCATCTTCTATATGTTATAACTTAAGCGTAGACGAAAACAAAGAGTAATTTGGAAACTGAGTGCAAAAGTTATGTTTGTTACAAGTTTGGGTCTTAAACAATAAGTTTCACACGGATCGCGTGACTAGAGGCTTTGACAACATGAAACAAGTTGTAAGGTCTAAGTACACCTATTATAAACCAAATACCTCATATTCCATCTATAAATCTTTAACTAACATCATAATAAGTCATGAAAGCTTCATTCAATTGAATCCTTGGAATAAAATTGGGGATTCGATCCATGAAGTTCCTTCAAGCCTGATCTATTAAAATTGCTTCAAGTTCTTTACATCATAATCACTCTATTGTTCAAAACAACAATTCAATCACATAAAATATGATTTAAATCGTTGAAATCATTTGTATCTGGTAATGTCTTTATTTTCAATTAGAATGTAATGTTTTTTGTTTAAATGTTATGTTTCATAAAATTATTTTGTTTATTTATTAAAAAGATAAAAAGAAGGAAAAAAGTAACATTGAAATTAAAATATTATGATATGTGATGATAATTTTAAAAATGACATGACACATATAATGTAACAAAAAGTAATATAAAAATGGGAAATTGAGTAATCTAACCATTTTTTTGGGTTTATTTAAACATAACCAAGTTTTTTTTTTTTTGAAAAATAACACTTTGGTCCGGAATGGGTCATTTCAGACCCAAAAACCGTGTCAAGCCTAATATTGTAGCCCACACAAAAAAAATCTGGAATACGCATTCCAAAATTAGCAGATACTAAGCACCATCTACCCGCATTTTGGACCAAATTTTCAGCATAGATTCATCAAACTAAGTAAGTTCTACAGAGAAGTAGGTTTTGCATTTGAATTTCTTAAACAAATTACGTATTCTAGAATGGTATGGAACACAAGGAACTACTCAGGAACATCTTTTTTTTTTTTTATCTTTTTGTTGTTGTACCTGTGTGAATATTATGTAAGTACTTTGTAATTTACTTCTGATCGGTTGTTTTAGCCTGGAATTAGGTATTGTAGGGGTTTCAGAATGGGAATGTAGGTCCAAAACACAATAAACTTTGTCCAGAATCATGATCCAGAATACTTATAATATACATTTTTTTTATGTATTGTTTAATAACCCATGTTAGATCAAAGACGAGTTAGCATGGATGTTAAAAAAGTGGGTTTTACGGACGACGAAGTTGTATTCAATTTAAATGAACTTTTGAAACTGTGTCCGATTAAGTTAACATAGAAAAACAATAATTTTATAATTCTAGTTGATTTTCATGATAATGTATTAAAAATGTTCTTGGAATTTTTTTTACAAATAGAAAACGACAATGCTGAGTTTCAAAATAAGATAAAAAATAAATCAACAAAAGCACCCATAAAATTAAGAAAGAAATCAGAAAATGTGATAAAGATTAAATTGAACGCAGTTAAGACTTCAAAAGATGGCACCTGAGCAAGTGCAGAGAAACCTGTTATGATAAACTAGTTGTAATTATGGTTTTTTTTTAATATGTTTTAGGAAGTCTTATTGTTATTATTAAATACTTTATGCACATTGGTTTTTAAATATTATAGTAATATAATTTAGGTATATTTTATTTTCAGTCTCCAACATCCAATTACTCGAACGATCAAAATGAGTTGCCTATATAGTATCCTATACCACGTCTTGAAGACGAGCGACCACGTCTTGTTGATATGAATGCATTAAAAATGATTCGTGATTATCAATGTGCTAAACAATGAATGGTAATACTGGAAATTTCATTACGGCCTTCACCGACTGAGTACCGGAGACAAGTAGCATTGTATAACATGGAAATGCTCATTATTACCATGTCTGAAGATATACGACAATTTGTGAACACAATGGAAACCATCGAAGAAACATGTAGGACAGCTCCAACAATTGAAGATCGAGCCGAATTGACTAATAATGGTTTCGAACTAACCGAGACCTATTTGAAAATCACGTAGACACGGCTAGTTTGCATCGGATGCAACTTCTCAGATATCGGCCACAAATGTAATCTAATTTTAAATATGGATAACGTAATGTTTTTTCAAATTGAATTTTGTAAAACGAATGGTATGATTATCTAAGATGACAATTATCCTTTTTCATTAACACTATTGCAAAAAGTGTTATTTAACCTATTACTTACTTAGGTTGGTTTCCACAAATCAAGAAATTGTAATGGATACATATTTTGTTCTCGGTCAATAAAATCTCCTCTAATTCTAACAACATATGTTAGATAGTCCCGTTCTACATGCAGCTTATTGATCTCCTTATTTGCATTTTCAATCCACTTTTTAGCTTGTTTCACTTCTTTCATCGCTTCTGCAACCCATTTTCCTTTTTTATTTACTTGTTCCGTTAAATCGTCTGTACGTTGATTTAGTGTGCTAATTCTTTCAGAGTCCCTTTCGTTTGCTTCTTCAGCAGCCTTCATAACTTGGAAAACGGCATCAAACATTTTATCAAGGAGTGGGAAATCTGGGCCTTCTAGAAACGAGTTATTATCTGAACAAACATAACAATTTTCTTCTTCACAATGCCCAACACCATCATGAGATGAACTCATTCCAATTTTATTTCAATGTTGAGGATTCATGCTAGCTGAATTTAAAGGTTGAAAAGCAAGTGTCCGAAATAACTATTCCGGAAAGTGGCTCCAGATTCGGAATGGGGTTCAGGAATAAGGGTCTGAAATACTATCAGGAATCTATGACATTTACTGTTCGAAATGACTACACATAGTGTCATGAATCTAAGACTTTTACTATTTGGAAATAACTACACATATGTCAAGAATCAAGGACAATTATTTTTCGGAAATTATGGTCTGAAATATCAATTATGGAATGTGGCTCTGTAATAGCTGGTCCGGAACCTGGCTCCGAAATAGCTGGTCTGGAACGTGGCTCCGGAACAGTGGTCTGAAATATCTGGTCCGAAAGACTATCATGTAAACAAATAGGTTGTAAAACTTTCTTCGTGCTGACTCTTTGAAAAACTAATTTTGAAACAGTTTTATAAGAGATAATTACGAATTACTTGATTGAATGTAAGGTTCTATACGCGCACGCGCGCACACACACACACACACACACACACACACACACACACACACACACACATATATATATATATATATATATATATATATATATATGAGACGAAAAAAAAGACGGAGGTTATAATCCGAAGTATGAACTTCAGAATAGGTACTCCGAAACGAAAACCACAGCTCCGAAATGCTATGTTCTGGAGCAAGTGGTCATTTTACTCAAAAAAAAAGTTTGTTATTTTTATTAAAATGGTCGTTTATAAAGGTTAGATTACTTAATTTTCCTATAAAAAAAATTATGAATAAGTCTTAGATTGTCTTAAGAGCATCTCCAATAGTAATTTTTTATTACTTGTTATTGTTTATTTCTTTTTAAATAAGTATTATTGCTATTAGAGTTTTCAACTTATTTAAATATAAAAAGAGGTTAACCATTAAAAAAGTTAAGGAACGATGATTTTTCGAAAGTTTTAAGTCTTAATATAGACTAACCTTTGAAGATGTACATGTTTTTTGTATTTTTAAGGTTCATGCACACTCTAAACTGGAAGCTATGACGATAAGTTTTATAATATTTGAAAAAGGAAAAAGATGCTTTGTATAGTTATCTTGAATATCCAATATTTTAATTCAACTAAAACTTCGAACACAAGACGTAATACCAACTAAAACTTCGAAATCTATTTTGGGAGAAATATTACACAATGAAAAACTTGTAGATTGACCAACATCTCATTTCATAGGACAAAACAAACACATTATTATTTTGATTCCGACAGCTTTATACAATTTCGTAACTTCTCTTATTGTACCCTAAAATAACAAACAATGCACTTTAGCATTTAATATATGTGAAGCGTATAGTGGAAAACCTCCCCTAATGCATATGTATGTTATAAGTAAATTTTAAAGAAAATTTAATATTATACCCACTTACAAATGATGCAAAACGTAGCTTTCTTCTACCATAAGTGATAAGACTTCTAATTAAAGCATATAAAAAGACAATTTTTAAAATTCATAATAAAGCTTCACACTTTATTCTATGAATATCACAAATCTTGAGCTTGATTGGTTTGAAAAATTCTGATTACGGAATAACATGGGAATGGGATCCATTCATCTTTAAATCAAACCAGCTGAAATAGGCTTATATTCATAAAAGAGAAATTCTTTTTGGAAAAAAATAATAATAACATTTTCGTTGAATTAACAATTTATAGATAAAACTTTAAAAGGCCAAAAAAAGTCCAAGAAACTTCTGGTACTTGGTCCACGTTTCCCGACAAGAAGGGATTAACATGCCACGTGACTCAACAGGCACGTGCCAGTCTCATCTCCTCTCCTCGTGTGAACTTTTACCACATTACACTTTTTTTCCACCTTCGTAAGCTCTTCTTCGATCTAATTAAGCATATTACGATCTGACCGTTGACATTGCCTCAACATCCACGTAGATTCCTGATTATCAACACTACTACTACCATTATCGTTTTGATCCAACGGCTCAGATTTCACGTCTCCTCCAGGCTGTCGAAGCCGCAGCTCATTATACTGCTCCGCCGCACCGCCACCTCCCGACACTCCCTCCCTCGACCGTTTCACACCTATTGTCACACCGAATAATCTCGGGCTCATCTCATCGGCTTCCGTTGTTTCTAGGTAATCACCATCGTCGCCGGCGCGACCTAAACACTCATCGGCTAACCGCTTTAGAGGTAACAGATCTAGCGGTGTCATGGTGGTGGTGGTCATCGTCGTCGTCGTCGTCGCCGCCTCCGGCTCTGGTGGTGATTGCTGTGAAGTGCTTCCTTCCGACGGTTTATTCTTCGCGTAGCTAGACATCATCACGTATATGTTGGAGCAAAGATTCTTCATCTGACTCAACTCTTTATTGAGTTCAACGTTTTCTTTCTTTAGCCTCTCGTTTTCACCGACAAGCTCGGCGTTAGTTCCTCCGGAAGCTGTTGTTTCTCGAGATAAATTAGTTGTAGCGCCTCGAGATGAGTTGGACGACACGACTTGTTCTTCGCCTGAATCGCAAGGAGATACCATTCCAAGCGGCGGAGACAACACCGGTAGTACCGGAATAGCTGCAACAGCGGGCGACGGAGCAGGTACCTGTGGTTGTGCCGGTGGAGTTGAAGCAATCTTACGACGTTGTATATCACACAGCAATCGTTTCTCTCCTCTACGAAAACAATCATTAGAGAACTCCCATCGATCAGGCACAACCTTCCTGAATCCCTGTCAACATAATCGATCGAATTTAAAGGAATGATAGATCGTATCTAACTGTTGGATTGAAAAAGCAAAAACCATATCACTAAACTTCTTTACGGGAGGAAATCTAATTATGCTAGACCTTAAATCTTACATAGGTATTTAGCTGACGGACAAAACTGGAGAAATTATTGTGTTTAAAGTACTTGGGTAGCAAATCCTTGGCAAATTCAGTTGGATTCCAGACGATGAACGTAGATCCATCTTCGTTCCAGGAAATCACACCGTCAATCGCCTTATCATCAACAAGCTGGTATGTTTTCGTCAAAAACGGTGTCGGAAGAGATCTAGCAGCCGCATCCCCTCCAGCCGAATCCACCGGTGGCGGAGCCATAAATCACCTCGGAGCAGCTACACCATACCAAAACAACAGACATGAATCTAAATCTCAACAAACAAAAAGTTAAACGCAACCAAAAAAAATCTAAAAATAAAATAAAAGAAGAAGCTAAAATCAAAGGAACGTTAACTACAACAGGTCTTACCGACGAATCAAGTGTTTCGAGAATGCATGTATGGTGACAGATCGAGCAGTAGGTTTGAGGATTCCAGAAAGTTCCGTGTAGGAAGATAGATCAGACTTGAAAGAAGGTAGGGGTGGAAATGGTGGAGAGAGAGAGAGAGAGAGAGAAAAAAAAATATAGAAAGGAAAAAGAAGGTGAATTATTATTGAATTGAATTGAATTGAATAGAATAGAATTGAGTTGAGGAGGAAGAGGAAAGAACGAGAAGGTACCGCAAAAGAGAGAATACAAATTCGAGAAGTTTCTCCATTGGATTGGATTTTAATACGTATGTGTCAAGCGTTTGGACGCTCGATCAAACCATCGTGATCATCAATTCAACACCACCACATTATCAGCTTTGGTCCTCACTTTATCCAATCATCTCTTCATTTTGTATTTTTCATTTTATATATTTCAAATTACCTAACACTCTACAACCATTAATGATAAAAGAAAATATTTCCTATTTATACCAATAGATTTTATCGAAATGTGGCCTTCCTAATTCCTATGATTGTTGTCGGGTTATTATTAGCTATTGTGATTAAGTTTAATTAATTTTAGTATTATTATATGATACATGGGGTGTCGAGTAGGGCTGTGCAACAAACCGCATAAACCGCCCACACCGCACCAAACCGCACCGCATAATGCGGTTTAGAATTTCGCGGTGCGGTTTGCGGTTCATCATTTTATCAAACCGCACTATGCGGTGTGGTTTGCGGTTTGTATTTATAAAACTGCTGTTCAAACCGCACCGCACCGCATGTTATATATATATATATATATATATATATATATATATATATATATATATATATATATATATATATATATATATACTTTTTTTTCTTTATTTTGTTATAACTTCATATCACGATTTAGAAATGATGTATATAAATATATTTCTTACAATAACCAAATATCTATAACGTAACATTAAATCACTATTAGATCAAGATCTCATGGTTTACAAGAATATATAAATTATAACGACAATATAAAGCAATAACAATGATACTTACAAAAGTATAGTAACATGAGTCACAATTTATTAAAAACGATTTAACTCGAAAATTGTATTTGTTTTTATAAAATGAAAGCAATCATTTTTTTTTAACCCGGTCAGGTTTTTAGTTTTTTGATAGATTTAATGTTAAACAACACATCAAACCGCAACTAAACCGCATCAAACCGCACCGCATCATGTGGTTTTGAACATCTGTGGTGCGGTTTGCGGTTTCTAAAATATTCAAACCGCATATGCTTGCTGTCGGGTTATTATTAGCTATTGTGATTAAGTTTAATTAATTTTAGTATTATTATATGATACATGGGGTGTCGAGGGGCAAAACGAAAAGTTGCTTATTCTTCCATATTATATATATATATATATATATATATATATATATATATATATATATATATATAATATATATATATATATACTTAGGTTATTTTGTTTACAATATCTATTGTGTTATTGTAGCATAAATGTAAGCCAATCATTTTACTTATTTAAAAAAAATGATTAATACATATTATTGAATTAAATATAATTAAAAAATATCATCTAATTTAACTAGAATGGTATTTTAATCAGTTAACATAGATTTAATAAATGAAATTTGCATTTTTTAAGGGATCAAAGATTCTATTAATTTTAAAAATCCGATTTTACAAATTATAAGGTTTTTAGTTCGAACATTCTAACAGAAGGGGCACCATGTTTTTGTTTGTGAAAAAACTAATGATTGTTAAACACATGTGACTCAACCACGTAATATGGGCCATGTAAAACATGCAAAACCAGAACAATCCAAAATCATAGGGTCAGAGTGAAAAGATAGTTTTAGGGACGATGAAATTTATAACTTTTGATATAACTCAAGCATGATTAATGTAATTTAGTCTAAAACATATATTGTAGATAGTCTTTCGTATGTAATCAAAATCAAAATTATAAAAATAAAATAAAATTCTTGTCATCCAAATATGAATGATATTATATATTTTTAAAAAGTCTCATAATACAAACCTAACAATAAAGTATAAATAGTTTTTGTTGATGCTCATCAAAAAAACATATCTAAAAGTATATAACATTACTCGTTTAGTGCGACACCCTTCAAATCTGAGTATTTTTATTAAAATATATGTTTACAAAAACAATTTAAAACAACAATATACTTTCAAAGTATATTGTTCTAATTTGTAATATATATATATATATATATATATATATATATATATATATATATATATATATATATATATATGGACAACAATATATATCAATATAAATTATGTTTTAATGCAATTTTATATCTAACAAAAAGTTAGTATTTACATATAAGTTATCAAAAAATTAATAGATTTTTATTTTTGACTTATATACCTAAAAAAACTGACTATATAGTTTTAACTTTCTTGTATGTTTACAGAAACAATTTAAAACAACAATGTACTTTCAAAGTACATTGTTGTAATTTATAGAGTAAATTATACGAATGGTCCCTATAGTTTGGGGTAATTTGCATGTTTCTTCCCTAACTTATTTTTTTAATTCGGAAGGTCCTTACTGTTTGTTATAATTACACGTTTGGTCCCTATTATTTGTTTTTGTTACGCATTTGGTCCCTATCTAACGTAAAAAGTTAATTATTTAAATAGAGAAAAAATGATAGGGTAGGTAAGGTAAGGTAAGAGGGTGAGGTTGGGGGTGTGTTTATTTTAAAAAAAAAATTAAAAAATCAAGGGAAAAATAGACTTTCTATGTAAGAAAGGGACCAAGCGTGTAACAAAAACAAACAATAGGGACCTTCCGAGTTAGAAAAATAAGTTAGGGACCAAACGCGCAAGTTATCCTAAACCATAAGGACCATTCGTGTAATTTACCCTCATTTATATATATATATATATATATATATATATATATATATATATATATATATGAAAATGAACAACAATAAATATCAATATAAATTAGTTTTTATGTTCATATAGATAATAGACTTTAACATCTAAAATGACAATAATGCCCCTGTATACTATTATATTCATAATTTTAGACGAGTAAAATATTAAAGAAAAAATTGTAGCGGTAGGAGGGGACAATAGTTGCAGGGGTAGGGGTATTTCAAGTAAAGAGGACATATATATAGATGGTCTTATACCCTCATTCATCATGCAAATAGTATTCAATGTAGATGAGTACTTTTTATATGTGTATAGAAATATACCAATTCTATGCATTGATATATATACCATTGTATTTGATTCATGATTAAATTTGATAACCCTCAAATATTTAGAACATCGATTACACAAGTTTCTGGAATAATGTAAACAAAGGATATAACGTTGATTATGCACATACTTACAAACAAACATAGGTCAACACATTAAAAAATCGATATAAAGTATATAATTTTTTTTTCTGTAACTAAATGAATGAAATTAATATGCTTAAAGTAGATTGATTAATTTTTTTTCATGGCCTTTCAATATGAATACAATAATAACATGTAATAAGAACTGAGTGAATGCAAAAAAAAATTGGAGAAGAAGATGATAACAAAGTAAATAAAGAACCTGGAAAAAAGAATTTGAAAAGAAGACCGTTGAAGAACACTATAAATTGTAGGACTCAATCCAAAATCGTAAGAATAGCAACTTCAATGTAATCGTATATATGGTGTTTTTAAATAAGGAAATCACTATCTTCCTAAAAAAATTGGGAACCTAAGATATAATCTTGAAGATTTTTGGCTATTCATCTAGAAAAAAAAAGATATCAGTTATATTGATTTAAATTTTCAAATTAATTGACTTGTTTATTTAATGAGTTTTAAAATTCAAACAATTATCTCAAATTAATTCATTTGACATGAGATATATCGGAAGATAAATTATGAATAATATTGACTTTAATTTTGACTCTCAAACCTTTTGTTGATTTAATGGAATTGGATTAGATTTTATAGGCTAACAACTGAATTATTGATATGTTTATTTAATGAGTTTTTTCAAAAAAAAAAATATAATAATAATAAACGGATGTGAATTTTAAAGTCAAAAGCTATAAATAAGGGAGTTAAATTAAGAACAATATTAATAAGAGAAACCGATATTTCGTATATAAATAGAATGGTAAACTTCAATTGATAACATAATTATTGGATTTAAAAATTCTATAATTAAATGTAATTGTGTTTGAATTCTATTTGAGAAAGATGATGTTAGTAATTTGTTCTAAGAATGAACAACATAGAATTGGAATACAATCAAGGGTCCTAATTGCTTTATTGGTAAATTAAAGGTTTTCTTTTATAGCATTTATAAATAATTTGTGAAAATGGTTCCTAAATAAAATTACCAGAACAAATAATACTCTTCATGACTTCATGTGATGACATCGGGACGAAAAGGCAATCAAGTAAAATAGGTACAACCATGTTGTCTTTCCTAGTAAAAATCAATTTACAATTTATTGCATTTCTGTCTTATTTTTAAATAGGTAATATTATGCTAGCACATATGGTTGTGTCCATAAAATTATCTATTTTCTATTAAGATAAAAATAGATTTTTTCATTAAAACGTATCGATAAAATAATAAAAACAAACTAGATTTTTTCTTTTGTATGTGACTAAAACTATTGAAAAAGCGACCAAAATAATTGCAACACAAACTCATGATTTTTGCAGAAACGTTGGATGTGGACATGGTGATTTCTAGGGTTTTCGCAACTTGATATTGTGGTCACAAATCACACTGGTCAATTTTGGACCATAAGGTCTCTGTCACCGAAATCAACAATATCCACTTATTATTATATTCATATTATATTCAAGTTATACACATTTTCACTCCTATATATAACAATCTACGATAAGAAATAATAAAAGACATTTTTTAAAATCACACAAAACAATTCATATTCGTTTGTCATTTTATGTCTTTTTTTTTTTAAAGAAGGAAATTTTATTAGAAACTAACCAGAAGTTAGAAAAAAAAAAACATAACAATAAAATAGTAAGTGGATCAACATAGCGCAACAATGAAATTAAGATGGTGCATGATGATGCAACATCTCCAACATGGCCTAACTTCGATTCTTGATGGAGCAACATCATCTTCATGGCTCAACATCTCCTTTGGTTCAACATCATCACTTGGCTCAACATCACCTTAGCACAAGTTCAGACATGATGACGCATCATGAATCCGTTATAGGGTTGAGTTTTTTATTCAAAAGGTTATTTAAGTTTTGTTGCATGCAAATGTATTCATCACAGTCCTTTGGGTTGCCCTCAAGACTAGCAACTGGGAAGGATGATTTTGAAGAAAAAGATTGTTTTCTTAATTTGATTAATAAATTGAAATAAATAATTTATTAATTTATTATGAGAATAATATATTAATTAGAAATAGTAATATTTAATTAATATTTAATTGGAAAATAATTAGAATTAATTCTGGGATTAAAGGAATTAGTTCAAAGTCCATGGACTTTATTGTATATGTTCAATAGATGAGCAAGAGGCAACCTAGAACCCTCCATAGGCTATGGAAAAATTTTCTAGTGCCTAAGGGTTTCTAGAATAGTTACTAATGGATAATCAGGAAAGTGGATAATTACCCGGTTAAAGATAATCTTGGATTTGGGCTTATCTAGGGTTTTCTGAC